TCAAATATATATAATAGTTCTAGAATTGCGCCACTCAAAGTGGCTGCACGTTGGAGTAACTGTTACTATTCTGAGATATTGCTTTGAAAACTTTAATTTCTGTCTTTATTCTGGATTCAGTCAGCGACTTCTTCAGATCCGTTGTAGGACAGACCACTACAAGAGATCCTTCCTGCTCACAGACATCAGCGTCTATAACAACTCTTTAATGAAACCAGGATGATGAGTTACCACAACATTTAATTTACCTTTAAGAATTTATAAAGTATTTTTGAACTGAATTAAAACCAAAGCTGATTATTCTAAAATGTGTCCTTGTTGACCGGGTTTGAAACTGAACTTGTCCCTTCAGTTTATTTAAATTTCAGACCAATCTTAAAACTTTCCTTTCTTTCTAAAATCTTGGAGAAATTGTTTTTATCCAGTTAAAAAACTTTTTGATTGAAAATTGAATTTTTTTTTTTAAATCTTCCAAGTCTGGTTTTAGACATTTATACACACTGAAACGGTTTTGATCAGTATCAAAGTTCTTGCTCAATGATGGCTCCGAGGAGCCACAACAAACTCAGTCTTATAAATAGCACCTTACAGTGGGTCAACCAGTTTGATGGTGCTAAGATGGTTTCTGGAGTCCGCCCTCTCCCCCGCCAACTTGTCTGAAGCAGCCATGGCCAAAATGGTTCAAAACATCAAAGACGAAACGTTTCAACAAAAATAAACCAGCCAGAGGACCTAACTTAACTTTGTGTTGGATTTTTTTTTTTAACCTGGATTATTGAGCATGAATCAGGATGTTTTGAACCACTTAAATATTTTGAAACCTTAAATGTTGTTGGTGGGAAATATTCAAGTGGGTAGGAGATGCACTGTAGAAAAAAACAAAAACTTTTTTCTTATCCACCAACAGTTGCAATGACAAAGTCAGGGGGTGGCCACTGGTGGCCTTGGCCCCCATAGATAAAAATTCAACCACCGCAATCCTTTGAATAAACTATTCTTTTGAGCAATATAAAAACTAGAAAGCACAGTTGCTTCAAATGATGGGGGTCAGTTTACATATGGTGGTGGTCATTTTGGGTTTTGTTTTGGCAACCCAATTGATGATAGTGACATTTCTTATACGAAGATGCAGCCACACAAAAGAATGGAAGTCAGTACCTCACTTGTTCATGAAGTTATGCTCACAACGTGTACAGATGAACGGGCGGATAGATGGAGAAAGAATATTTCCAATTCCCCGTTTTTACTTCTCAACTGGGAACAAGAATTTGCTTAAGGAGTATTTTGTAACTAATTAGGTTAACTGGCAACACATCAATCAGAGGTCTGGGTATAAATAATGGTGAGCACAGCTAACCAGAAAGTTAGCTTTGCTAACTCGTATTCCACTAACTAAAAAATTAGCTACACTAAAGCTAAACAGATAAAAATTTAAAATGAGCAGAAGCTAACACTAAATCATTAGCCGCTAAGATGACTGTCACTTAGTCTGCATCACACATCTTGTATCCTTCCAGATAATAGGAGAATTTTAAATTCCGAAATTTTAAATTCCTATATAATTTTTCATTTACTGGATTAGCATTTTTGCTAACTTTGGAAACGGTTAGTGGAATTAGATTTAGCCTTCTTTAAGTCCGCGAACAAAATTCACAAGTTTGTTCCTGTCTGTTGTGGGCATGTCTTGAAGAGTCCACTGGGCATGCTATTGGCTTATTACATTTCCTTCCTGCCTACAGCCATCAGTATCTATAACATCTCTTAATGAAATGAGGATAATGAGTTACAACAACAAATAATTTCCCTCTGGAGTTAATAAAGTATTTTTGAATTGAATTTGAATTGAATTTAATAAAACTTGATTGGTCGACGCAGCTTCAAGTGTTAGTGGATTAGCAGATCTATGTCCACCACTGAATAGTAACTTTCAGGATACCCTGAGTTTCTCAGAAGTCAAGATGGGCAGATGTTCAATGTCTGCAAAAAGGGCATCTAAAAATAGTGAACAATTTGAGGAGATGGTTATAAATATGTAAAATGATGGTACACTTGTCTCGTTTTTAAAACTAGCTCTCACCTCTCCTTTAGGGTAGCGGTATCGATATTTGTCCTGATCCCGAAGAGCAAACTCCTCAGGGTAGTGCTCCTGGATCTCTTCATAAGTCATTTCTTCACAAACCCCCTGTGGAAAAACACAAAAACAAATATGCATTTTTTTTTTTTACTAGAGAGTTTACTGAATGGAAACGTTAGTGTCTTGATTCATAAAATGCGTTGTGTTTTCAAATCGAATGCTTTCTGTTCAGATTGTTGTACCTCCATCTCTTCTTGCTTCTGTTCTTGTGTGAATGCTGGATTCATGCTCACTGTATTATTTTCTTGTTTATAGTTTCTTCTTTTAAGGTTTTTGCAACCAAACTCCGTTGACCTATGTATTTGTGTGGTTTTCACTTTAACCAGTCCAGGATTACTGTCCCCCATCGCCGAGCCAAGAGGGGGAATTGGAAATTCCGTTAATCCATTTGTCTGTCTGTCCATCTATGCATGTTTTGAGAATGATAACTTAAAAAATATGTGAGATACTGACTTCTATTTTGGTGTGTGGCTGAATCTAGATGTAAGACAGGTTACTTTCTAAAGCTGGGTTGCCATGTCAACCTCAATTAAACAGATAGAGCGTACAGAACGTATTTCCAATTCCCATTCTGTGCCGTGACAATAAAACAAGCAAACATATATAAAACTACACAGTAATATCTGGTAGAAATTATTCTAGAAGCTACATTTTCCCATAAATTTAGAGTCATTTAATGTCTCACAGCATCAATCTCATTTAGAGCTTTCCACTGCTCATACTGGACTCCCAGGGACTCGGCGGTCTGGATGGTCCTCTTCATGTGGCTCGTCCAGACTTTTAGGTCAGTGATGCACTGACCACGCATGTATGCACCCAGAGCACTGGCAAACTGACAAACAAACAAGTAAACAATCTGTCAAAAACAACAAAAACAGATAAAAACTTCAAATATTTCTTAAAGAGGACAAGAGAACATTCGCAGAACCGTTGCCGACTTCTAACATGAGCAGAATCATAACTAACTGCAAAAATTACTAAACAGTAGCTGCAAGTTAACAATGAAGCAAGTATGTTGAAATAAATTTAAAAAAAATCATAAACCTTTTGAGATATTTAAGAAGCACTTTTTATTTCAGTTTGAAAAAAATGCAAGTCAATTTTTATATTTAAAAAAGTTATGAGGACAAAATGTTGAATAAGCTTTGGTTGCATTGTAAACATGTTTTTTAGAAATGTTTTAGAGCTGATAAGGATTAACTCATTTTACCTTAGCTCCACGGGGGGAGAGCCCCGAGTCTCCTCCTATACGACCCACCAGGTTGAGTTCGCTCTCTCCGTGGCGAGACAGGTAGATGGATCTTTGAGTGACATGGATGTTCATCAGGTAGTAAACTATTCTGCTCTGAATGTGGTCCTGGACCCGGTTCACCAGGTACCTGCTACCCACGTCAAAGATTTTGATGTAGGACAGATTCCTGCATGAAGAAAATGAAATGCCTGGCCTGTAATTTTAGTTGCCCTTTGTATAAAGTAATTAGAAGAAGATGTTTGACCTGTCCTTGTTGTCGTCCAGGGCGATGTAAGTCATTTGATAACATTCAATCCTCTTCAGGAAGTCAGCCACTGCCTCTTCTTTATCACAGTCTTCATAGTCTGGACTGGTCAGCTTCACTTGCTGTTTTAAGACAGAAGGCTGATGTGGAGAAGCAGGAAGCACTTGGGCACCAACACATTTTTATGTTGCTACTCTTTTTTTTTTTTTACAACACCCCAAAAGTTTGAAAACAGCTGGACAATTCTACTGAACAAGACTGAAGGTAATAAGGAACAGCTTCTTCAAAATAGAGGAAAATGGACTGTACAGTACTTATATAGCACTTTCTATCTTATCAAGACGCTCAAAGCTCTTTACAACCTGTGCCTCATTTACCCATTCATATTCTACTATTTTTGTACAAAGAATAATCAGTGATTTAAATCACATTCGTACACTGATGGGACACACATCCAAGGCATTTAGGGGTTCAGTGTATTGCCCAGGGACACTTCAGCATGTGACAGCTGGTGGAATTGAACCCTCAACTCTTGCATTGGAAGATGACTGCTCTAACCACTCAGCCACAGCTCCCCCAAAGTGCTGCCCTTCAAGGGTTTTCTTGTTTTTCCCAACGGTTTACATAGTGATCAAATGACAACACGAGTTAATTTAACAAACTCTGAAGAGTTGCTTACACAATGACATTTGGGTCCTTATTGCAATTATCCTGATGCTAAATGTCCTGATGCATGCTCAATAATCCAGGTAGAAAAATCTAACAAGGTTAACTCTGGACAGATTCTTCTTTGCAGAATCATTTCGTACTTTATCCAAAAGACTTCTTCAGTCTGAGGAGCTGCAATAAATTCAGTTTGCTGGTGACATCCAGAACTTGCTGTTCACATATAAAAGGAGGACCATCAGCCTAACATTTGGTCATTGGTGCCCTGATGGCGGCTTGTTATTCGCAGAGGGCTGAGTGATGCAATACGTTTGAGAGAGGAGTAAAGGAATTCATCTTTGTGAAAAGAACCATGTTTAACAGCGGCGGGCATTCATTTTTGTTGCATAAGATCCATGTCTGTGATGCAGCACCATATTATTCCACATTTCTGTGTAGTGTTGATGGTTTCTGCAGCCGTGGCGTCATAATGGTGGTATTAAGAGGATGAATTCAGGCAGGACGCCACTGAAGGCCTAGGTGTAAAATGCATGACCCACCATCACCAGCTACCAACAGAAACCATAACACTTACTTTGATATTCTCAGCAATGATTTTCGGATCGTCACATATCGATTCCACAAAGAAAATCTATACAGGAAAAAAAAAAAGACATGGAAACTGTTATATGACATGTACTTTATGAATGGATATATTAAAGCATATTTATTGGACAGAGGAAAAAAAACAAAACAAACCTTGTAACCATTTTCTTTGGCAAAACTGAGGATGACTTCTCTGCGTTCAGGAGTAGTGTTGGTAGCATCAAAAACCTTAAAGGTCAAACAAGATCAGAAGTTTTTAAAATATAAAATACAGGTCGATATTTTTCAGATCACACTGACGTTTAATCTTTTTGCAGAATGGGAGGGTTTGGGTCCTGCAAAATTGATACTGTGAAGAAAAACTCTTCGAGTTCTGTTTGTTCATCTCTGGATGTGAAGCAGTTAGCGTTTGGCACATTTTGTTTTATAAACTTTTTTCACAATTGATTTGTAGATGCAACAATGAGCCTCTCTGTAAGAGAGGTTGAAACATTTTTGCCTGAGGTGCTGGCCCCCTTTTTTGTGAAGACATCAGTGTAGAAAGTTGGCCATCTTCCTTGTTTTATTTATTTATTTTTCCGAAGAAGCAATTTATTAGGGAAGTTTTGGTCAAAATGTATGGATGTTTTTAACTACTAAGGCTGAGAATGTTAACTTTGCCCATGAATCATGTATGTTTGAGTTAGCAGAAAGCTGAATGGGGAGCTTGGTGAAGGCAGCTGCATGGACAAACCTTTGAATCTTTGTAGGCATCTTGGCATTTTTACACTTTTAACTGAATAAAACGTGATTATGAAAGCGATCACAATTGCATCAAGTGGAACCACTTCAAATTTTACTCACCGCAACTTGACCTTGGTCCCTGGTTAGGTAATCGCACACATCTTTCAGGGCAGCACTGACGCAAGCACTGTTGATGCAAATTTAAAATGTTAAAACATACTCATTTGTATTACCAGTGACGTGCTTTATAAATGAGGAATAACATCAAACTGAGCCCCAGTTGAAAAATAATAATACTGAGCTGCTTGAACCAGCAAGGCCTACTCTGCTGGCATAAACACTTCGTAATCTGAATCAGTAACACTGAATCTGTTTACTGATCCAGAATCAGGCCCCAGTATCATAAATAAATGGCAACAAGACCAATGCCTTAGTCAATTAAATTAATACAAAAGCTATTTTTCTACAATTATTTCATTTTTATTATTGACAATAGTGTCAATATTTGGTGTAATTGCTTTTACATGGTTGGGCAGCATTTGAAACATGTATTTTAGAACCTTTTATTCAATCAATTTTAATCTATTATATGTTGCAATGGTCAAAGGGAAGTGGAGGCAGATGAGAGAAAGGGAGTTGTGATTGATTTCCCTGCATGTTACAAGAAAATTTGTGTGGGAAAGGTGAAGCACCCACCTTCACCCTCATTTGCCCCAATGTGAGCCTTTGAGCAAGGCCTTTAAGGCCCGCTTGACTGGGCGTGCATGAGGGCAGATTGCTCCACACATGTGAATTGTGGCAGCTCTGTGGTTGTGTTAGGTAGAGCATCCAGTGTGAAACAATTGTAAAATCTTCATATGAGTTTGTTGACTGTGGCAACTCCTAACAAAGGGAGCAGCCAAGAGAAAACAAAGTGTTGCTATGGTTAAAGAAGTCTGCCTCTAGGCCTTCATAAATGATTCTGAAGACCTCAAGCATAAGTAAACGTCAACAAGCTTGAAGAAGCAACAAAGTGGTTCCAAACATCCAAGTTCATGCTCAATGCTATGGCTGCCTCAGAGAGTCGACGTGGGAGAGGGCGGGCTCCAGAAACCATCTTATCACCATAAAACTGGTTTGCTCTCTATGTGAGTGTGCTGCTTGTGGGACTGAGTTTGTTGTGACTCCTCAGACTCATGAAGTCTTTGGATGAAAGAATAAACGGTTCAAAAAATATAAAAGAAACCATGCAGATGACCTGACTGAACTTTGTTGGGGTGTTTTTTTTGCCTTGATTATTGAGCATGAACTTTGATACCTTGTGATTGTTTTGCACAGTGTTCTGATGTAAGAAAATCAAAAACTGTATTAAAGTTCATACTTGCGTATCTTCATCGCCTCTGTGTTGTCAGGTTTAAAGAACTCATAGCTATTGTAGGAACGTGTGGCCTCTCTTCTATATTGCCCAATATTAAACACTGGGGGGGAAGAAACATCATTTAACATTATTTATAACCTTGAACACAACGATTAAAAATGTTTCCTTTATGATGTATTATTTTTAAACCACTATTTATCCCTGAAAATCCCTTTGACAGTTAGTGTTCCTTAGTTCAAAATACATTATACATTTAACTGTTTAAAAATAATATTTTTTCCACAATCAACTAGTCATAATAGTCATAAAACAAATCATAACAACAATAACAGGAAACATTATAATACAATAAACCATAGATATGTTCATTAAAAAAGGGAGGTTTCCCCAAACGATTAGGGTGCCCGAAGATTAAATGTGATTTAAATGTGAATGCAAGCTTTTATGAGTAGACTAAAACATGCACATTTATGTTATTTGCACCACACTATTTTATGTTTTAGCTTTTAGACGTTGTCATTAAAGTTCTTTGTTTTGGCTGTATGAAAATATAAAATTCACTTTATCTCAAGCCAGTTTATTTTATCTTAACTGCCACTAAAATAGTTTTGTAGCAAATGGGAAACAGAACTCTGCAAATCTGAAGTATGACAAAGCTTTGGAAAGAGAATCAGACTTTTGGTGCAGTCTTGTACCGTGAGATAATACCTTTGGTTGAAACCCCGATCCAGTTCAGGTATCTGGTGAGTTTCTTGGAAATGTAAGTTTTCCCACGTGCTGGCAGCCCTACCATCACAATCACTGTTGGGGAATTGGTGAACTGAGGCACTGAAGCTTAAACACACAAAAACATCCCACAAAAAATGAGTTGTGAAGATCAAATCTCTGCTTAAAATACTGAGTTCAGAGTATCTCACAGTGATACTTACTAACCAACACATGTTTAGTACTTGTGTTTAGTTCCACTCTTTAGATAGAGTGGGCAAGACTCATCAGAGGAGGCAAAGAGACTCATCATGGACAGATGTGTGCAATCAGCACTAGACAAAGGTTTCTCTAACAAACTGAGGGTAGAGCTTTCAGTGGTTGTGGCAGCACCCTTTTGGAGGGAGGGTGTCGTTCGCAGTCATTTAGGGTTGATTTTATTGGAGTATTAGATGCATAAATAAATACCCTTTATTTTTCTTAACCTCCTGGTATGTGTGATGATTGATGGTTCTGACATTCTAGGAAAGATTTTCTTCCTGTGTGACCCATAAACACATTGCATTATCATGGCCTCATGGCCTCAAACACTGGACTTGTGTCTTTACTGGTCCTATTAGACCTCAGAACAGCATTTGATACAGTTGATCACAATATTTTACTACAAAGGCTAGAATATTATATTGAGGTTAAAGGAACATCTAAAATAGTTTAAATCATATTTATTTGATTAATTCTAGTTTGTAAATGTAAATAATCAAATCTTCTTCATACACCAAAATTCTTCATGGAGTTCCTCAGGGTTCAATGCTTGGACCAATACTTTTCTCTACTCCAAAAAAATTATTTAAAAAGTCTTCAGTTGATCCAAAATGCTGCTGCCAGAATTTTAATGAGAGTTGGTAGGAGAGATCATAGTTCTCTAGTTTTAGCTTTTCTCCATTCGTCAAAGTCAGAGTAGAATTCAAAATGTTACTTCTAACATGCAATTCTCTCAACAATATACTGTAGCTCCATCTTATATTACAGACATTATTGGTTCATGATTTCCTAACAGAGCATTTCACTCTTTTTTCCTTAATAGTGTTGGCTTGGGTTTCCAGAGCTATCCGTTAGTCATGCTGTAATATCCTTAGACTGCTGGAGGACAAATTGAATGAATTATTTCCGTCATTGAATGTTTATGAGAATATACCTGTAACCTCTTCAATTTCACTGCCAAGAGAAACTTCCCTTGGTTCTTTATAGAACACAGAATTAAACAAGGCTGTCATCTTTCCTTTTCATTTCATAATGGCTGCAGAGATGCTATCTATTTTTGTTAAAACCTTAAATTAGGGATCTTATAGTTACATATTTTTCGAACAGTGCACTTCACTTTCAGACTGCAGGTTTACTTGCAGTTCCTAGAATTTCCAAAAACAGAATGGGAGGAAGATCTTCCAGTTATCAGGCTCCTCTCTTGTGGAACTAACTTCCAGTTTCTGTCCGTGAGGCTGACACATTGTCCAGTTTTAAGACTGGGCTTAAGACTTTCCTTTTTGATAAATCCTATAGTTACGGTTGGCTTGTTATGCTGCTATAGGCTTAGACTAATGGAGATTGACTAAAATTGAATAGTTTTCATTTGATATTATTTCTATCTCAACTTGTGATTATTGACCTGCCTTTGTGTATCTGTTCCTCTCAAACCCAGCCGGTCGAAGCAGATGACCGCTTGTCCTGAGTCTGGTTCTGCTAAAGGTTTTTTCCTCGTGAGGGAGTTATTCTTTTCCACTGTCGCCTTCATGCTTGCTCATAATGAGAGTCTGCAATGAAATTAAACTCAAAGCAGTCTGCTCCTCAGATAAATATTGTTATTAACTTACTTTTAATGTATATGAGTGTTTCTGTTCAGCGCCCTGAGACGACTTCTGTTGTGGCTTGGCGCTATATAAATAAACTGAATTAAATTAAATAGACAAAAAACAATGTGCATGCTGTGAGAATGATAATTAAAAGATAAGTGAGACACTGACTGCATCGGAAAGGATCTTCTTTTTCTAATTTATTATTAGGTTGCATATAATTGTTAAAAAGGGTTGTTCTAAAAATTTGTATCTAATAATTTAAAGGTGCTTCTCATTGTTAAATGTAAAAAAGAGCAACACATGGGCAGTGACATTTTGGGTGAATGACCTTCAGGTTGTGCACATAGAAGAAACACTCTGAAACCACAAAATTGATTTTCAAATACAGCAACCCCAATATAGTTTTCACATATTTAATGTACAAGTATCAACATGTCATGCCATACTGAGTCAGTACGAAGGCAAACATTATAAATTGTACATGTGTGTGTCTATGTTGCTTTGTAAGGCCCATTTTTCCAACACATACTACATTGTGAGGACCAACTGCTCCTTGTGGGGACCAAAACCTGGTCCCCATAAGGTTCAAGTGGCGTTGGTGGGTTAGGTTTAGGACTAAGGTGTGAATTGAGGATGGGTTAGGTACGTACTGGTAATGGTTAGGTTTAGGGTAAGGGTTAGGCTATAGAAATGAATGGAAGTCAATGCAAAGTCCCCGTAACAATAGAAAGACAAACGTGTGTGTGTGTGTGTGTGTGTTTGTGTGTTTGTGTACTTACAGCTTCTGCGCCTGTTCAGTCTGCTGGTCATCCATGGAACCCAGGTCTTCTCCAGAGGGTTCTGTGTGAGCGTTGCTTGTGCTTTTGACATGACTTCAACAGCCAGAAGAAAAATGTTTGTGTATATCTGTAAAAATTTGTTTGTGAGTCAGTGTTTTTGTGTGTGTTCCTACCGGTATGTGTGACAGAACAGGGGAATAATGGTAGCTTTTAAAGCAAACGTGCAAATTTTGAACTTTCTCCCACTGAGTCAGCATGGGAGGAGTTTGGGTGGACTTCTGTCAGCAACAACCTGTTTGGTTTGTTGAAGAGAGCCACGAGCGTTTGATTAGTTATTTGAGCTGTTCATCACAAGATCCTCTACCAATCAACATACTCTACCATGTACTTTGCCCTGAATTGTATATTTATATCAGTACAACAAATGTTCTGATCTCATCCAAAGACTTGATGGAATATAAAGTGATGACAGCACATCAGATTCAATTCAGTTCAGTTTATTTATACAGCGTCAAGTCACAACAGAAGTCATCTCAGGGAACTATATAAAAACATTTACATACATTATAAAAGCCAATTATCAAAGTTATCTATCTAAGGAAGCCAGCAGATTGCGTTGAATCTTCACTTTGTTGCAGTCTCCATCCTGAGCAGCACAAAGACAACAGAGGAAAGGACAAACCAGATCAACTCAAGACACTGATGAGAAAGATCTCTTGTTGCAGAGTATGAAGAATACAGTCAGGTACTGAAGAGAAAATGTTTGACTAAACTTTCATATAGAATTTTTAGTATGGAATTGAAATGCCAAAAAATGAATTCATTTTAAGATTAAAAATGGAAAAACAAGTCTTGCCACTCCTCGAATTTTCATACCAGTGTTTTAGACTAAGATCATCTTGTGTGAGAAATGACAGTCTTTTACATTTTGGAGTATGTGTCAGGATCTGTGGTCTTCTCACGTCACAGAGCAAAGATGGGCAATTGGAAATGCCCTCCGTCCGTCCATGTTTATAGTGAGTATGATCCAGGCATAAGAAAGGTCACCATTGAAGATTGGGTTGCCACGTAAAAATCCAAGCTCTAATGTACTGCTTGTTCAAGTTTTTTAATAGTCTGTTGTTTCGGTGTATGTTTTGTGACCCTTGTATTTATGTATGTTGTGTCTTTATTTTATCAATTTCAGTTTTTTATATATACATATATATATAT